GGCGGATCTCTGTGGGTTTGAGGCCAGCCTGATCTCCAGAGTGAGTGCCAGGATAGGCTCCAAAAGCTACACAGAGAAACCCTGTCTGGAAAAACCAAAATAAATAAATAAATAAACAAATAAATAAATAATTTTAAAAAAGAGTACGAAATGAAAATTAAAACAAAAGAAGTAGGCTCCGATGCCACTGAAGGGATGGATACGGTAAAAAGGCTAGGACAAGCACATTAAAAGCAAAACTTCATTCTTTTGTGCCCTTATATAGGCTTCAGCAGAAGGAGTGTCTCAGAGTAAAGGTGTGTCTTCCAGACTCATGGTCATTTCAGATGCGTGGGTCCTCCCATTTGAAGATATTGGTTAAAGATATTTGTTCTACCTCTAAGGTTTGGACTAGGAGTGAATCCATCCACTTCAATCCATAGTAAAATAATCTCTCACAAGTGTGCCTCCATTTCTGGATTGTAGTTCATTCCAGATGTTGAAAATTTGACAACCAAGACAAGTCCGCCCCTGGTCAGCTTAACACAGTCATTCCTTATGGCATGATTAATTTCCAATTGAAAACAATAAACAGGTCATAATAACACCTAAACCTTATATAACTATATTAAATAGAATCACAAATGTGTTCTTTATTTAACCATGTTATAATTACATCTAACATGATAATAATTCACTCTAGTACAAGTGCAAATACATTTGAAATTTAGAGTGTCAGTGTCTCTTGTGGAACAGGACTTTAGAATCTTGGATTTAAGTAATCATTGATATCCTCTTAATTGATGTTAATCCACTTGATAAAGATAATGAAAGAAAACAAATATCTGTACATAAACAATCTTAGAAAAATACAATAGAAACATCACTATTACCATAATCTTTCCTTCTTTTACTGGTCACATGGCTTAAGAATATTTTATAACTACCTTTCCCTACGATTCATTCTGTATTTCCTCCAGGTTTTGTCTCCACTCCTGGAAGGATCCCCATCCCTTTATTCCTGATGGGTCTGTGCCCTTTATCCCTCCCATCCTCCCATATTTCCCACCAACCCCCACAACCCACCCTCCCAACTCCTCCCCAGGGATAGTGAGGCCCCCAACCAGGGACCTTCAAAGTCTGTCTTATCATTTGGGGGAGGGCCTAGGCCCTCCTTGCTGTATCTGGGCTGCAATAGTATCCATCCATAGGGAATGGGCTCCGAAAGTCCATTTTGATCTGGGGATAAAGACTGACTCCACTGTTAGAGGTCCCATAGACTGTCTTGGCCTCCTAGATGGCACCCATATCACCAGTGGTTTGGAAAAAGCCCACCAGGCCTCAACCCTACACAGAAAACTGTAGGCAAGTAGGGAATGCTGGGAGCAGGAGACATGCTCTCCCCTCCAGAAAACACAACAATGGGCTATTGAGTACAAATCTTTAGCCTTGAAAGCAAACATTTTGGATACATTATAATGACTGATTAGTTAGGAATCTATTTGCATATACCTACTCATATGTGTATGTATTAACTGTTAATGAAAAAGAAGGCCACATGTTTGAGATATTAGTCTGGGTATACTGGAGAATTTTGTGGAGCAAACCAGAAAACTAAGTTATATCCCTATGAGGAAACACAGATTAGCACTCTTCTAAGTCTCCATGTTACATTTCTATTTCTGATGATTGGCATTGTCGCCTGGAGTGAGGTTACAGATTGAGTGTCCATATGAAGGTGTTGGGAATTCAAACCAAATCATCCGAAAGCCCAGACAGTGCCCTTTGCCTCTGAGTCATCTCTAAAACTAAGTGGAGCACTGAGTTTTATTGGGGTGACATACAAGAGTGTGGGAGAAAGGTTATACATAGAGACACAAAGTACTCAATGATAGCTGCATCACCCATGCAGGGTGATGGTTTTTATGAAGCAGGAAACCTGGGGATCACTGCACAGATTTCAGGCATCTCAAGGGAGGTGGAAAGTGTCTTTCAAGCCACTCACTACCTTCCCTGGCCATGTTGTCTTGTGTGGTCCAGGCAACTTGAGGGCTATTTGCTGCATGGCTGGTGTGACACATTGTCTGACAGTGTCATCAGTCCTTACTGATTCTGTATGCTTGATTCAACAGGGCACTAGTGAATCGTGCTAGATTCTGTGACTTTCTGAAAATGGTGTCTATTTCTGATTTTCAGGAGCTTCTTTCTTGGATGTATTGGTTCACATCAGTTCATCCTATACTTTTCCTCTCTTTAATGTCCTGTTTTTTTTATGGTATTTCCTTGAAATTGATGGGTTTCCTGCTCTCTAGGCCCCAGCCCCTGTCCCTCCCTCATGAACCCCTCCCTAGGGACCAGGAAGCAATACCTTCTCCAGCTAACAATCACCCAGCAACTCACCAGGGAACAAGGGATCCAAAGGATCTGGTGCACCTGGAGGGACATGGTAAGTCCTGGCTAGAACGCCTTGCGCTCTA